TCAAATTGATTTCACTTAGCAGAAATGAAATGATCCGAGCATATTCGGGCGCTCTGGTGGCTATTAGTTTTTTGTTGTTGCGTATGGTTGTGCCATTTCTCTCTCGCTAGAGGACTGGGTTGGCGTCGCTGGCACCGCCCTAAGTTGGTTTAGGTCTTACCTTGAAGACAGGAAGTACTTTGTGGAGATTGGAAACTGTGTCTCAGATCATATGGCCCTGACCTGTGGAGTCCCACAGGGGTCAAACCTGGGACCTCTTCTGTTCAATCTCTACATGCTGCCGTTAGGTCAGTTAATACGCAGAAACAAAGTTTCCTATCATAACTATGCAGACGACACTCAGATCTATGTCTCACTGACTGCAGGAGAACATGGACCAGTGGACTCACTCCTTCACTGTATCCAACAGATCAGTGAGTGGATGCAAAACAACTTCCTTCAGCTAAACGCAGACAAAACTGAAATGATTGTCTTTGGTCCCCAGAAACAAAGAGAGAGCGTCATCTGTCATCTACAGTCTCTCTCCCTAAAACCTTCAAACAAGGTCAGAAATCTAGGGGTAATACTGGACTCAGACTTAAATTTTAATAGCCACATCAAATCAGTAACATCAGCAGCTTTTTACCATCTAAAAAACATTGCCAGGATCAAAAACATAGTGTCTAAAGCAGACCTGGAGATTCTTATCCATGCATTTGTCTCCAGTAGGTTAGACTACTGCAATGGCCCGCTCACAGGTCTGTCCAAACAGGCTGTAAAACAGCTGCAGTACATTCAAAATGCAGCAGCTCGAGTCCTGACTAGAACCAGGAAGTACGACCACATTAGTCCAGTCCTCAGGTCCCTGCACTGGCTTCCTGTGGCTCAGAGAATAGACTTTAAAACAGCTCTGCTTGTGTACAAGTCTCTCCATGGCCTCGCACCAAATATATTAGTGACATGTTAGTCCCATATGAACCAGCCCGGACTCTGAGGAGCACAGGGACTGGACTCCTGTTAGTGCCCAGAGTCAGAACTAAACATGGGGAGGCTGCTTTTCAGATTCATGCTGCTAAAATCTGGAACAATCTTCCTGAAGATGTGAGACAGGCCTCCTCTCTGACAATGTTTAAAACCAGGTTAAAAACGGTGCTGTTTAGCTGTGCATACAACTGAGGGATTTTATATTTTTATCTTTCGTTTTAATGTTCTGTAATTATTTATGATTTTAATGCATCTTGTTCAGCACTTTGAGTTGCCTTGTGTATGAATTGTGCTATACAAATAAACTTGCCTTGCCTTGCCTTGCCTTGCCTCGTTTCTTTGAGATGTCTTCTGTTTTTGAGCCGTGTGAAGTAAGGACGGCTGGCAGTCAGTAACACAACTTATTTTCCCTGTCTCTCCTTTTGCTGCAGCCAAAAACGGCAAAAAATGTGATCATGTTTATGCGGTCCCGGGTGCACGCCACTATCATACAGCGTTTGCTTGTCCTCCAGTATGGCGGATGCCCCGCGAGTTTGAGGCATCGTGACGTCACGTGAGATATCTCTATATGGACCCCAGCCCAGCCCAAAAAGCATTAGCGCGAGTGAACAGGCCATGTAAAGAATGAGATTTTTTTTAGAACAATATTTAGGTCTAAATACATAATGAGCCACAGGGGGGGCGCTGCAGAGACTGACACAAGTAGGAAGGAGAAGTATTCTCTATTCCATATTCATTGTTCTTCATCAAAAACAGACCTGGATGTTTTTAGATCCATCCAGGTTGATATCAGGAACACTTCTGTTGAAACGCATCTGTATCCAACTTGATGAATTAAATGTTTAGAGCCATTTTCTGCATGGAGCTGTGAAGTGCTCGTTCACTTCCTGTTGTATGATCTGCATTTAAACCCTGTGTACAGTACACAACAAAGCACTAAATATTGGGCCTTGTGTCTGCATTTGGGTCTGCTTTTTGAGTTTTTCTAAAAAAAAAAATTGGGTTTTCTTTCTTTTTTTGCATTTTCATATTAACAAACGTTGTCATTAAAATTTCCTTTTACATCGGAAAGTGCATGTGACTTAATTTATTAAATAACTTTAGAAAGCACTAAAGTCATTCATAATGGAGGAAAGTACACAGTGTGAAGCAAACTGATAATGTCTATATGAAGCAGTAATCAGACCATTTCTCAACAAGCGCCTCACCACCATGAATGGTTGAGGTATGTGCCGTATGTGATCTCACTTTCTAAAACATGATATGCCAAAGTGTCATTAATAAGTTTCAGGAACAAACATAATGCTGAGTGTGTCTTCTGTAATGGTTTCTGTCAAGCCAGTTTAAATTGCAGTGTGTTTGTCTCTGGCCTAATGTAACCAAAGACACACAGGGGATACTTGGAACAACGTTGCCTCCTGCTGGATGTAAACTGTGCTGCTGCCAAAACAGGTAAGAGTATCCCTTCACAGGAAAAGAGCTGAGGAATAGAACTGACCATGCATTTATTTACTGAGCGCACATTAGCGTCATAGATTAGTTATTAATTGGCGCTTAGACTCCAGCAAAGCACAACATGACAAATGCAGGAAGGGAAATCGAATAGAGGCAGTGATGGGGAGGAGGAGGGTTGCTGCAGAAGTCCTGGCTGCGTTTAAATGCAGCCAGGTGAGAGATGATTGGCAGTGCGGTGATTGTGATTGACTCATTACTGATGCAGTGCAGTAGCAGTGGGAGGACTGAGGGAGTGGTGATCTTATCAATGCATAGATTCCAGACTGAACTTCCGCTTCAGAGCCTTTTTTCTATCAAGATTAAGCAACATGGGACAAAAACATGATGGGGCTAGTATGTAATTTTGCATGTTCTGTCTCTGCTTCTCCTGCATTCTGTCCAATTAGCACAGTTCACTTTCACAGTATTTTCCCTCCTTTGTGTTTGCATTGAGAGGTTCCAGTGTGATGCAGGAGCAGAGGTCTGGTCCCACAGAATGCTCAGCAGTATCCTTAAGTTGTGGCACTGAGGCCCCACGCAGCTCGTTACAGCTGAGTTTCCACATATGAAAGCTGTGGATTATTGGCTTCTCCGGAGGCCTCAGTCATGGCCCCTTGTGGCTCCAAGTCCCAGGCTGAAGCTGGGAGAGCATCAAACCGCTCTCATGAATGAGCCTATTTGTATATTGTATATGTTTACGCTTTTTTAAAAATGTAACCAATAGTTTTACACTGATGAAGTCAGATTGTGATTTTTACAGGAGGTAGAGCAGTGTTCAAAAGCTGACTACATCATAGAAGGAGAGTCACTGTTCACCGGTAGTTTGATTATCGAACAAATGCTTGAATGATTTTATCATCAAAATCAAAGAAACACAATATTAGGCCACATGTTATTTAATATTAGTGTTGCTCAAAGCTGTTATTATCAATCATTCTTTATTTGTAGAGCTTTCTGTAAGGAGTTGCATGTTCTGCTCCTGTAGGTTACCTCAATATTACCCCCTGAATATTCTGATTTTTCCTGACTAAATAAAGGTCCAACATCTTAAAAATATGGTTTATTATTATTATTATTAATGTAATCTTATTATGTATGAGTTTGTTAGTTGTTGTTGTAATTACAACTAGTTCCTTCCCTCACTGAGTTTGGAGTATGACTATGAAAAACTAAAGCATAGATATAATTATGAAATTGTATTCACTTATTCATTTTTAATTCATTTTTGGAGGAAGAAGTACATTAAAGTTTCAGTGTTTGTTTTTAGCACTCATTGATTAAATAAGTAGTAAACAAAGACACATGTATAATTGGAGAGAATGGTTTTCTATTAACATTTTAAAAATACAACCGATATACAGAGAAATGAAAAGGCACGTATGGTCTCAATGCTTTGCCCGAGTTCAGAAGTAAAGATAAAAAAATCTTTTAAATAATATGATTTGAACATTTATACAAACATGAATTACTGGAAAGTGAAAACATCTAAAAACACACTTCTTCATATGGTCTTTTACAGTAACTTCAGAATCGCACAGCCGTATTATAAGCCTCACGAGATGGAAGTAAAGTCAAAGTTTTATATACAATTGAGAAACATTACAGTAACAATAGAGAGGGTAATAATGATTCAAAAGTGTTAGAAATCTCCTAAAGGTCATTCACGAAACCACCACTTTTAAATGCCAAATATAAAAAAGCTAAGTTGTCCTGACACGGATGTAGAGGGAGACCAACAAGGAGACCGGTTGTGCTAAATCTATATTGGAAAAAAGTGTATAAATAGTTTTTCTTTGTAATGAGAGTAGCCTGTATTCTTAGTATATTCTGTTTTGAAACAATATTTACCAACTGAACACACGTGACCTGTCTTTTTGAGCGTTTCTCCATTACAACGTTGTTTATCATCAAAAACAGATCTGGGCCTTATTCACTAACCAGTACAGAAAACATCCACCAGTGTTTGATCAATTCTGACTTTTCATGAGAAGGAAGAGCTGTTTTTAACTCAATCCACAAACTGTCCTCTGTCCCCCCGCCCTTTCTGTCTAAACGCCTCTTTTTGTTTACTGATCTTGTTCCATTACACATATATCACTGTCAAATGCATAATATTTGTTCTTTAAGACTTGCAAAATCTCACTTGGCACAAAACAATAAAAACATGTTTTGCAGTGTGGGCTTTGACATGTTGTCCCTTCATCATGTCTTGAAAAAAAAACTGAAATTAGCATCACAGATTAGTTTGTTTAAAATATTCCTCGATTAATTCACAATTAAAAATACAACTGGCCCTTCCATGGGTTAATCCAGCTGCTCCTCCCTTATATCCATTTGTTCTCCCCAGTGCTGGCGTCTCAGAGGACCTTCCCTTATATACACAATTACAAATTCTAAATGTAGCTCATCATTATTCATTCAGAAAATGTGAATGCCTGAAACAAAGAGTAAAAAGCTCTTTGATTGGTCCTCTGAAGACCCTGAATGTCTGCTTAGTGTCATGATCCGTCTTGCAGCTTGTGTGGAGCATGAAGTGAAGCGGTCTAGAACTTGTTGGTCACTGAGCCCCAGATGATGAGGCCTATGGCGACAGCGACGAGCACACCGATGGTGATGAGGATGCAGATCTTCTTCCGGGAGCTGCTCTGGAGGAGGAGAAAAGGCAGAAGTGTGTATTTACTGCTTAAGTGCATACAGTAGAACAAAAGTTAACCAGACTCCTGGTGGAACACCATGAGTTCATCAATCACTACAGAACGTCTGTGAACATGGGCTGTTTGAGGAGCTTAGGAAGGTTCTGCTCATCTCTATCAAGTTTGTTTTTGCTTTTCCAGACCGTAATCTGGAAGAATCAAATAAGTAACAGGGGGAATAAAGCCCGGTGTTCTCAAGGTTTATATGATAGAAATACTTTAAGATAAGATTAACTTTATTGATGTCTTTCGTCACTGTAGGAGACACGTTTGGGCACTGTGTGAATGAATGGATGTTTGGAGGAGTGATGTATTGTGGGCGTGCATGTATGCGTGAGTGTGGGCGTGTGCGTGAGGGCCTGCATGTGTGTGTGTGTGTGTGTGTGCGTGTGGGCGTGCATGTGTGTTTGGGCGCGGTACACGAAATTATGAATGAGCATACACCTGCGGGGGCACGGAAAGGGGAGAGAGGTCTGTTTGGGAGGCCATAATTTTTGTTGACCGCTATTATAGTTTGTTTGATTTATTTTTGCTATTTTCTCTGGCTTAAGTTTATTCACTATTCTTTTCTGTATAATCACCACGCATTTTTTGGCCTATGACAGCTGCGTTTATTATTAATTAAATCAATGTCATCGCAACTGGATCCAGCCTTCGTTTGTTTTACTAATTTAGCGCGTCATACAATTTTACCGGACCCAACTCGCCTCTCCGCGGCTTTAGACAACAGGCAGCCGCTATATTTGTCAACAAAAAAGGCAATCCTTGAAGAGCATCAAAGCGTGTCTCCACAAACACATCGCGCATCCAAACTTCGAGCACGAGCCCGAAGGAGCAGCTAAGTGCAACACAGCCACACAACCCATTCATTCATCAGAGCGCAGGTAAGCCTACCTGTTTCATGTTTTTGTGGATCAAAAATCCTGTGGATGTCCGCGCGCAATGTTTATTGTACGGACTTTTATGAATGAAGTGGTTTGTGAAGGACGCACATGCGCAGGAGGAGGCGCTCGTTACATGTAATGCGGAGGAATAAATACAGTGTGGAGTGACTATGCACTGATGTTGTCAGGAGTCAACAATGTTGAAAGGTTCAAGAAAATAAATGCAATGGTCTCATATGGTGTTTCAGTGCGGTTTGAAGTGTGGTGTGTATGCAGATAAAGTCAAACGAAATGAGTGACGTTGGTAGCGCTGTGCAAAGCTCTCATATGGAAAGAAAAAAAAGGGAAATCAAACTCACGGCCAAAGCCCTTGAAAATAAAATGGAACGGCTTCAAAATGAACGAAAAACAGCTGTCAATAAAATCAAAGCATTAATCCCACAAATTAAGGATCAAATGAAATCAAAGGAAAATGCTCTACAAATGCAAATAAACTTGGAAAATCTAAATGCACTACATGAAAAGGCCACTTCTCTGCACAATGAATTACTTCCACTGTTTCCAGAGGATGAACTGGGAAAACAAAAGGAATGGTTTACCAGTATAACAGAGATTAAAGAGACATTTATGGAAAAAGTGAACAGATGGAACAAGGAAAACTTGAACACAAGTGAATTCGAGAAGGAGCCACCACCAACAACCACCAACAGTGAAATCAATGGACAGCAACAAAATGAATGTTCTCAATCTAAAACATCAGAGGGGATGGAGGATGAAGTGCATCCTAAGGATAGCATTTCCAACAGTGGAACCAAGAGGTCTCAGCGATCCTCCATCTCACGCGCATCTGTGAAGGCTGAAGCTGAGTTGGCAGCTTTAGCCGCAAGGCAAAATTTACTTGATGAACAGCATGCAATCGAGGAGGAAGAGGAACGACTGCGAAAAAGAAAGGAAAGGTTTCAGCTTGGCCGAGAAATAGCTGAAAAAATGGCTGAGTTGAAGGTCATTAAAGCCAAAAGCTCATGTGGCAGAGCCAGTTCTAAAGCCTCAGTTTCTGACGGTATGCACTCGTACGTTGAAAAGCATACACAGCCTACAGGGCTGACTCACAAGTCGTATGCAGCCAGCGCACGTTACAGCGCAGCCACTTATGCAGCCAGCGCACGTTACAGCGCAGTCATTCACGCAGCCAGCGCACGTTACAGCGCAGCCACTTATGCAGCCAGCGCACGTTACAGCGCAGTCATTCACGCAGCCAGCGCACGTTACAGCGCAGCCATTATGCAGCCAGCGCACGTTACAGCGCAGTCATTCACGCAGCCAGCTAATCCCACGCTCAATGCTCGAGCTACAGAGTTTTTTTCCAACATTTTCAGTTAGACCAAAAGAAGACACTCAAGCAAAGTCAAACTTCATGCATACTGCAGAACCTGTAATCACAGCACTTCACCCCAGTGAGCCCCAGCACCGCTCCCAGTCCATACAAGGCTTCAATACTACATCACAGTATAACAGTGCACAATGTCAAAACAATGCAGCATCAAACAATGATGTGCTGGAAATAATGAGAAAACAAAACGAAATCACAACACTTCTAGTACAACAGCAATGCTTGTCCGCTCTACCGAAAAGAGAGATTCCACTGTTCGACGGAGATCCGCTGAAGTATCACACCTTTATCAGAGCTTTCAAAAATGGTGTTGAACGCAATACAAATGAAAACAGCGATCGATTATATTTTCTTGAGCAGTACACGAAAGGACACGCAAAGGAGCTTGTGAGAAGTTGCCAGCATATCGATCCTGCCAGAGGGTACACAAGAGCAAAGGAGTTGCTTAAAGAGCATTATGGAAACGAGCAGAAGGTGGCGACTGCTTACATGGAAAGAGCTGTGTCTTGGCCACCAATTAAAAGTGAGGATGCCAAGGCATTGCAGGAGTACAGTTTGTTTCTCCGCAGCTGCTGTAATGCCATGGAAGATGTCCAGTATTTACAGGATCTTGACACACCTTCAAACATGCTCGAAATCATCAAAAGGTTGCCATACAAGATGAGAGATCGGTGGAGAGGTACTGCCTGCGACATACAGGAGAAACACCACAGGAGAGCAAAATTCATCGACATTACAAACTTTGTTGAAAGGCAGGTGAAGATTCTCACTGACCCAGTGTTTGGCAACATACAGGATGCACCTACCTTGAATAAAAGTGTGAGCAGATTTAAATCACATCCCCGCTTGGGTGTTAAGAGCACCAGCTTTGCCACCACTGTAGACACTGTGGAGAAAAAGGATTGGTCTGGAAGAAAGTTTAATGATACTCACCAAAGCATGAAGAAAACATGCCCCTTTTGCAAAGGAGGACATGCACTGGAGATGTGTGCACAGTTGAAGGGAAAGCCACACAAAGAGAAGATAGGCTTCTTGAGGGAGAACGGCTTCTGTTACGGCTGTTTGTGTAAAGGACACTTCAGTAGAGAATGCCGCAAAAGGATCTCCTGTTCAAAGTGTGGTCTAAAGCATCCAACTGTATTGCACAAGGACAATGTGAGTAACACCGACCAAAGTGAGAGAAGGAACATCGCATCTGTGGACAACACATTGATCTCAAGTGGTCTTACAGGGGCTGGAGAACAGAACTGCAAGTTGCCCATCGTGCCAGTCCAGGTTAAGTCTAGAAGAGGCAATAAGATCATCTGCACGTATGCCTTCCTAGATCAAGGCAGTACGGCAGTATTCTGCACGGAGGACTTAATGCGCAGGCTACACCTGACAGGCAGAAAGACCAGCATTCTCCTGAGAACCATGGGTCAGGAGAAGGTGGTGAGCAGTTTTATGGTGCCAGAGTTGGAAGTTGCCGCACTTGAGGGAAATCATTTCATAGAGTTGCCAAGTGCCTACACGCAGGAGTCGATGCCTGTGTACAGGAGCAACATTCCAACCAAAAGGGATCTCGAAAGGTGGCCGCACTTGCAACATCTATTACTGCCACAAGTTGAAGCAGGTATTGACCTCCTGATTGGAACAAACGTCCCCAAGGCAATGGAACCACTGGAGGTTATCCACAGCATCAATGATGGGCCTTACGCCATAAGGACTGTGCTGGGCTGGACAGTCAACGGACCCCTGACAGGGAACAGTGGGAAGGCCGTTGATTGTGAGTCAGTGACCGTGAACAGGGTGTCCATCATCAATCTGGATGAGCTGTGGAGACAGCAATTTAAGAATGACTTTCCAGAGGCAATCATGGAGGAAGAGCCAGGGCTCTCCAGGGAGGATCAAAGGTTTCTCCAGATGGTGACAGCATCTACTAGGCATGTAGATGGTCATTATGAGGTCTGTCTTCCACTGAAGAATCCACAGATCAGCATGCCGAACAACAAAAGGGTTGTAGCGCAGCGGTTGAACTACCGGAAAAGAAGGCCTCCACGGATCCGAATGACCTCGAAGCCCTCTAACACCCAACCACTTGTTACTTTTAAAGCACATGCCTTCCTTGCCCCCTGGACAATTCCAGCCAGCTGACCTGTATGCTACGAGAAGATGGAGACAAGTTCAGTACATGTCGGACTTGTTTTGGAAACGTTGGACTAAGGAATATTTACCACTCCTGCAGGAACGTCAGCGCTGGTCTAAAGTGAGGAGAAATCTAATCCCTGGAGATATTGTAGTCATTATGGACGATACTGCTCCGCGGAACTCTTGGATTCTGGGAAAGATTTTGGAGACATTTCCCGACAGGAAAGGATTAGTTCGCCAAGTTCGTGTCAAAACGAAGACTAACTGTTTGGATCGACCAATTTCCAAGGTCTGTCTGCTTGTGGAGAAGGAGGCTGCCTAGTTCGTGGCAGACTTCTAGTGACTTTTCTCGCGTTTTGACTGGATTTTTTGGACGATTGACTGTCTATGACTCTGGTCACTTGGTGACTGAAGAAATGAAGATTCAATATGGATTAATGAATGGACATTGATGTTTCATTATGATTCTTTTGGTCTCCTACTTAATGTTTTGAAGTAATTATTGAGTCAATAATTAGGGGCTGGTGTGTAGGAGACACGTTTGGGCACTGTGTGAATGAATGGATGTTTGGAGGAGTGATGTATTGTGGGCGTGCATGTATGCGTGAGTGTGGGCGTGTGCGTGAGGGCCTGCATGTGTGTGTGTGTGTGTGTGTGTGTGTGCGTGTGGGCGTGCATGTGTGTTTGGGCGCGGTACACGAAATTATGAATGAGCATACACCTGCGGGGGCACGGAAAGGGGAGAGAGGTCTGTTTGGGAGGCCATAATTTTTGTTGACCGCTATTATAGTTTGTTTGATTTATTTTTGCTATTTTCTCTGGCTTAAGTTTATTCACTATTCTTTTCTGTATAATCACCACGCATTTTTTGGCCTATGACAGCTGCGTTTATTATTAATTAAATCAATGTCATCGCAACTGGATCCAGCCTTCGTTTGTTTTACTAATTTAGCGCGTCATACAATTTTACCGGACCCAACTCGCCTCTCCGCGGCTTTAGACAACAGGCAGCCGCTATAGTCACATTTGGCATAAAGTATCACTCAGGTTGTGAAAAAATAGGCTACATTGCATAAACTCATGAAGCAAAAATATTAAATAAAAACACACCTTTCATGGAAACAAATGTGATGAATATAACTAGAAGTGCATTTTCAAAAATTGCTAAATAATCCTCCACGTAGAATCAATTATCGCTGCGCAGCACAAACCTTCAGCTGCAGGCTAAAGATAAATATTATTACCTGCTGTGATCACTTTACATCTATGTAACAAAAATAGGGACAACAGCCCTGTTTGTAGTAAAATGTTTCCTCGTTAACTCTATACTCATTAACTCTACAACACTGCTGTCTTATGCTTATGCCCTGGAAAAAACAATATTAATGGGAAAAAAGTACAGGTTTTTAACAAAGTCAAATCAGACTCTACTTGATGAAATATGTAATGGCCTAAGGTACAACCCTTTTTATGGAAACAGGGATGAAGTCACTTTGGTCATTCACTTTTTTAGAGAAAAAATTTGCAAATAAACACATTTCATATGAACGGAAATGCAGTCAATGTGAGCAGTGCGTCCAGAACATGGAACATACTGCTCCAGAAAACAAGTACTCCTCACAAATTGTCTGGGAAAGTTCAGAGTTAACGGTTGATGTGTCTTATCAGCAGAACTGAGAGGAAAAAACTGTTTCTTTGAACATTCAGCAGTAAAAGTATGTTTAATTTCTCCTCATGAAGAGAAGAAAAAGAGGGACCACAGGCAGCTCTACCCTCTAGATCTGCTACTCTGTACCAGGGGCCAATTCGAAAAAATGGGTGTGACATAAACAAGGGGCCAGAACGCTGGAGTTTAGTGGGTAAATTGCCAGTAGAAGTCATGATTGTAGAGAGCTGAAGGTGAAAACGGAGAGAGAGCAAAAAAATCTGGACAAATGGACAAAGAGCTGATGTCGACCCTCCTCATCACCAAAAGCACCAGTCGACCTGAGTTCCAGTGTTTTTACATTTTCAACAAGACACCAAAACATTTCCCACCCGAGTTCCCGACTTGAGTAACGGTCAGTGTGACATCATCATTGTGGGTCAGGTTTGTGACACCACTCTGGCCAGTGAACAAAGAGCTGTGGGACTGGGACGAGGCGTGGGGGAAACTTTCATCTAATTAAATCAACACCAGGACTGAAAGAGCTGCTGTGCACTGTGCCATAGCAACCACTCGACAAACAAATATAAAAACATAATTTATGCCAGACGTGACAAATACCATGCAGTAGTGCAGTGACCGTTCAAAGCAGATCCCACCACTCAAGCAAGAAAGTCATCGGGGAGAAAAGGTCATTTCCCTCTGGCAACAACCACTCAACTGTTGCCATGTGACTTCTTGCAAATCAATATAAACAGGAGCTAATGAGAGATTAAGTCTGCAGTGGCATGATATTATATGAGGCAGTTGTGACGAAGAACGTAATTTCACTGGAGAAAGCCCCAAAAACTCAAACTCAAAAGCTTTACAGAAAATACCTTTGAATCTAAACCAGTGGGGGCGGGTCCCAACTCAAAAGTGGCCAAAATGACGTGCGCTGACATGCTTGCATTTTGGATTGCTCCAGTAGAGCAAATTTTTTGGCCCATTAGTTAGAACGGCGGAGATAGGCGTGACTCTGTTCGTTAATATATACAGTCTATGATCTAAACGCAGGAATCAGTCCTGTCCATAATGTCATAGTTAGGGACTGACACATTACGTTTTTAGTTTATAAATCATTGGATGTTACAGCCCTCTACTCATTTTAAAGCAGGAAATGTATTGTTTGTATCACAATGCATCTATGATCGATAATGTAAAAAGTCTACAGCTGATATCGAGTTCAAGTTCACAATGTTGGTAATCTCTATATTGCCTGCAATATACACTCCCGGCCTTTATAGATAGATAATATTCTGTTTTCATTCTGTTATCATCATTTATGGAAAAAAAATATAGAAAACACCTGAGCGGAATCCAAAGAATGTGTATTGCTTGAAAAAAGGTAATTTCCTCATCACAGTTTTTAGGATTGATTATTTGGATATTTTATAACACTTTGAAGCAACTGTTATTAAAGCTGAATTCATTATTATAACACATGCTGGAGCTGGTACTTTTAAGTAAGTAAGTAATCTTTATGTACAGTATATACCGCCTTTCACAGACCAGAGTCACAAAGCGGTTTACAATTGTTATTTTTTGGGCATTTGTCTCTCACTCCACATTTGAATGTTTCATTTATCTGAAGGCCGAAGCTACTGGCACCAAGGGCAGCTGCTGCATGCTTTAAAATCATGAATCATCGTGGATAGCACTCTCGCCTCTCAGCAAGAAGGTCCTGGGTTCAAATCCCGGTCGGACCAGGGCCTTTCTGAGTGGAGTTTGCATGTTCTCCCCGTGTCTGCGTAGGTTTCCTCCGGGTATTCCGGTTTCCCCTACCACTAAAAATATGTACAATAGGTCTGGCATATGCCTCCTGTACTGGCGACCCCGCTCCCATCTCTGTGAGGATGCCCAAAAATAACAATTGTAAACCGCTTTGAGACTCCCTTGTCATTTTCTTCAGTTATAGTTTGAAAACATAGCATAAAACAGAAGGGGTGTGGGGACCAGGTCTATTTTTGGCCAGGAATAATTATGTAATAGGGTAAAAGTTAAAGACTATAAAGAGGATCCAGTGTCCTTTAAAGCTTTGTTTATATGTTTCAAGTAACAATCAGTCTTTGTTTATGCCACATTTGAGTTACCTGGTACTGGGCGGCCCTGGCCAGCTGCTGCATCCCACTGGTAATGTTCTGGTCTGTGCTCTCCACGTTGGCCTCGATGCTGTCTGCGGATCATTAACATGCAGCGGTCAGAGAGCATCCAGCATATAGAAAACAAACAAACATGTGCAACAGCAGCGGCCAGTTTTTCCGGAAAACCAAAGAAATATGTGAAAGTTGAAGTTATGAGGCTTTCCAGCTAGTACTGCTTTGGTTATGTCAATTGAAATACAAACAAATATGCATAAATATAGTTCATTTAAAGCTGGGGTACCAAACTTTCAAAAAAATTTATGTTGTGACATCAAAGAACTGGTTCACAGGTTTTCACATGTATTTACTGCCTCTGTTACGTCTTTGAGAGAGGATCACGCTCACTCAGCCAATGTTGTGGTCTGATGTGGCACAACATTTTACTGACAATTTCTTTTTTAAGACAAAAGAATCCAGTGAAACCAAGAAGCACGTTGCAATAATGTACGGCCCCTGCATTTAAAGCATGATCCCCGTTTCTATTGATCCAGTGTGCGTGTCCACATAGATAACAGGAAGCCCAACTGTCCTTGTGAAATGATCCATACTCTCTTTCTCAAGTGAATGTTGGCGTCGATTATGGATTTAGGTCTGGACTTTGACTAGGCCATTCCAACACATTGATATGTTTTTCTTTAAACCACTCCATTGTAGCTGCTGGGACTTCACTGTCATCCTCAAAGAAGTCCAAGAGACCACATCACCCCCATCCTGAAAGAACTCCACTGAGACCAGATCTCCTCACTCCCATCAGGACAAGGTGCCAAACCCTGAGAGAATGACCCATCAGAAACTCTGATTGAACCTTAACTTTCCAAAAAGATTAATTTGAAGTCCTCAAATTGAGTGACTCAAATGTTGACAGCACTACATCCACCCTAAGGATTTAACAACTTAAAGAAAATTAAAGTCGGTTCAGATAGTTCTAATTATCACTTTTGACTAGGGTACCATTGTGTCCTCTGCTTAGGACAGTGGAGACAGAGGAACAGCAGGACTCACCGATCATGTCTCCCTGCTCGTGCACCATCACCCCCAGGTCTTTGAAGATGTCGTTTATGTCCACGATGTCTGACTGTGAGAGAAGGTTCAGAAAGTTTAGCATTTTAGTATTTCGTTTTTTAGAGTATGGTTAGCATCTATAGAAGAAAACTTAAGGTCTGTCAGATTAATGGAGAGTTTTTGAAGAATGGTTTTTAGATCTGGCTACAGATTTTAAATTGGATTAAGGTCTGGAGTTTGACGTGGCCACACGGTTGTGTGTTGTTTAAACCCTTCCATTGTATGCAAATGCATATCAGTTTTTCACGTCACAATTGTTCTTCATGTTTGTGCTCATAACGTGACAAACGGAGAAAGTCTGTGGGGTATTGTTGGGCTGTTGTTGTTCATGTACCTCCAGTTGTCTTATGGCCTGCTCGCGTTCTTGGATCAGCTGCAGATCCTCCACAGTCATGGCCTCCTCCTCCGCCTGAAGCTGCATCTGACTGTGCACAAAGGATCACCTTTTCAACAGCTTATCTCACATTTAAAAATATATATATATTAAAACACATACCTAGAAAACGCAGGTACATTTCTGAAGTTTTCATCTGTCTGACCTCCCTGTAAAAAAAACAATAAAACAACATTAAATAACAAATATTGAAAATTATATTTTGGACCTAAACATGATCTTAAAAATATTTACTTTCATTTCATGTTTTAGAATGTGAAATAATTGCTTAATTAGTCTTTATATGGATAATCAAAAGTGGTAGAATGTTTGCTTTAGTGGTAGAACTTACATTCTGGAAACAAAAACAATTGCACAGTTAGTTGTCTTGGCCTGAGAAATGACCTCTTTTTTTTGTGGCCTTAACCTAACTTTGCTTTACCTTACAAACCCTGCGCGCAAATGGATGAGCAGATACGATTCATCATCCTTTCTCCCCAGCTCAATAAGCTGCTCAAATGTATGCATCAGTGTGCGAAGTTTACCCCGCTGTGAGACAGACGTGACGAGGCTCTCACGCGGGCCACGTCCTCGCGCTCCTTCTTAGCCGCTTCACGCTGAGTTTTCTGGAAAGCGTTGAGCGCGGCGGAAAAGTCGTTTAACAGACGCTCCCGCTGCAGCTTCCTCTGTCTCTGGAAGGGCACACAGGAAAACACATATGATAATAATAATAATAATAATAATAATAATACTACATCGTATTTTTAAGGCGCCTTTCCTGACACTCAAGGTCGCCTTACATACAAGTAAAAAGTACATTACAAAAACACTTAAAATACAAAGTTAAATCATGGACAGAGAATGGTATTTTTATGGTGAGAGTGAATAGGCTTGTCTAAACAGATGAGTTGAAAGAGTGTTTTTGAAGCGTGTGAGTGAGTCGGTGTTATGGAAGTCAAGGGGAAGAGTGTTCCAGAGCTGGGGAGCAGAGCGGCTGAGGGCCTTACTCCCCATGGTGACGAAGAGCGAGGAGGAGAATTGGAGGGAGCGGGCAGGTGTGGAGGAGGTTCGTCAGGAATGGAGGAGCAAGGCTATGGATGGCTTTGAATGTTAGGAGCAGGATTTTACATTGGATGTGGTGAGTAAGCCAGTTGTTGGAGGACAGGGGTGATGTGGTTGATGGAGGGGGTGTGTGTGACCAGTTGGGTTTTTTGGGGGAGACAGAACAGAAGGGGGTTACAATAGTTGAGGCGGGAGGTGGTGAGGCTGTGTAAAAAGTAAGGCAGTGGTGTGAGGGGAGAGAGAGAGGAGCGATGCGGGTGATGCTGTTAAATGTGTGCGGTGAAGGAGAGGATGACACTATGTGCACTCATTAGGCCCAAAACATGATCTGGAGACTATTTAATTACAATTATTACAGATCTTTCAGTCATTTTTGTATGTTACTACATTGTTTCACATCAATGGATCAATAACTTCTAACTGGCATGTTCTTTCTTCCATTTTAAACACACATTTTGCAAAAGATACAAAACAGTGTGTTGAAAACTGAACACAGCCCTAAAAATGAGTATTAATAAAAGTAGTACCTGATCCGGTCCCACAGGTAGCGACGCGAAGGCTTTGAGCTGTTTGTCAGTGTCTTTGGCGAGCTGGTTCCCCTGCTGCTGCTTCTGCTGTCTACAGACACACATCATAATTTCACATTTATTACATAATCATGAAAATAATCCATTAGTCAGAATAAATATTATGTTCTGTACTCTCCTGTGAGTTCACACTTCTGAATTGGGATTAGGACGGCGCAGTTGCAAAAAAAAAAAAAAATAGTATAATATATAACATTTATTACGATTAAGATCCTATAGATCTCACAGTGGGGAAATGTAAGTGTTGCATCACAAGTTAAAGAACGTTAACTTACAGTGAGTTTCTGAGTTGGCTGTTGTCCAGGTCTGTGCCCACGAGAAACACTGCTCTCTGGAGATCGTTGGCTGGAGAGGAAACAATTATGTCACAATGTTACTTTTCACAAATGTATACATGGTTAGTTGCAACAGTATTTGTGGTGTATCAGCACAAAGGAGGCAGTCATACTTTTTAAGTTATAATCGTGGCTTTTCTGCAAGAATACCACTGTCTCACTATACGACAGACGTAATATCAGATGATATTACACTTTAAAACTAGTATCAAAACTAAAGGAATCATACAAACCGGACCGAAATATTTTGTATTCAGTTTTAGAGCGTGTTTACATGGAACCTGTTCCGTTTGAACAGGTTCCATGTAAATACTTTTTACAAATATTGTCCCTTTAATAGATATGTATACAAAGTCATGACTTACTCAGCAGACTCAGTCTCTGGATGTTGGAGGTGATGCCAGAAACCAGAGTGCTGGGATCAGGAACCCCAGCCTGGTACGCCATGACGAACACCTGGAAACACACACTGAATTGACAAAGGGCAACGCACACTTTATGTGGAGGATCCAGCACATATGCAAACATCTACATTTTCCACATTCATTCCATACACAGTGGTGGCAAAGTTAACTACTGCTGGAGACACAGCTGCGGCAGGCTGGCAGAGGCGAGCCGACCACTCTACCATCTGCCCCTCCGATCACCACCACCAGACTTCTATACTAAATTATGTGGGTGAAATGTCACCTGCTGTGGCACCTTATGTACCCAGGTCTCCCATCACAGTACTGACCAGGCCCTAGGCTGCGTCACTTCAGTTCTGCCGGGATCAGGCTTTCACATGCTGGTGGTGCCACATATTAAACTAGGGTTGCAGTCGACAAGAGACTTTTCTGTTTGTACAAATATATATTTTCACAGAAATAAAGCTACAACGATTCATCAAATTGATCAAATGAATCACTTGCAAAAAGTCTGATAACAATTCCATTGCCTTGAATATGACAGAATCATGTTGAGGGATTGCTTATTTTGAAATGCACACAGTCCATATTACCACAAGGCGGCGCACCCCTTCAGAAAGGTTACACAGTACAGCTTTAACATAATCATTTGAGTTTTGAGTCCTGCAAACTTCCTTCATTCCAAAAACGTATACAGCCACTAACACTTTATATTCAAGTAGTCAAAGACGAAGGCAGGCAAGTATCAAACCGAGAAATGAACTATTTAACCTACTTGTGTTTTACTATGCGGAAATCACTGCAGCGCTGCAGTCACAACTTGTCCCAAAACACGTACCACCACAAAAAGTCATGTATAAGCTTTACATTCAAAGCTATTCTCTGTATAGTGATGGGGAAAGGTTTCGCTTCTGTGCAATATTAGCATTTACGCTTTAGGAATCCCGTACAGCCCATAGACTGTAAGCCCGTAACGACAGCGTCAGGTCAAAGTCATCAGAAATAAAGCTTTATATTTTATTTTTATACATGACACCAGAACAGAACGTGATAACGCTGTAATATTTGCGCCACAAATCAAAGTGTCAATAAAAGTAAATAAAAGTTACCTTCCGAAGCAGCGGTAGAGTTCTGCTTCCTGGTTATGCGACACGCCCCCGACACGTGACCAACTCTGTACAAATTTCAACTTTCACAAGTAAACCAACATGCATCTGTAGATAAACTAAAGAATAATGCCAGATTGAATAGTAATTTAAGACCTTAATTGATTTGCATCTTCTCCCAGAATAATCTACTTAGTAGCAGTTACACATGTTATTTTGTCTTTTATATTGGTCATTTATTTATTTGTTTATTTAACAGGAACGATCTTTATACATTATATCAGAAATTACCAAAACAGCTATTTTTATCGGCTGTGCCTGGACGAATATAGTGCAAATACTGTGCTCTGTCCTTGACCTTTGATTAACAAAGTTGAATGAACTTCGCAAATTCAGCAGAGTGATGCAAAATGAACACAAATAATGCATCATGTGTACCCTTTAAGATCAGCATCATGACTGTGCGTACGTATTTTTGCATACTTGTAAGTGTGTATGTATGTGGGTGTAGTCGTGTGTGGGTGTGTGCATACACATGCAAGTGTGGGTAAAGTTGAGAGACAGACCTGTTGTGACCGATGCTTCAGTGACCCGCGGTGAGGACCCACTGAACCCAATGGTGAAATCACATGTGGAACGAAAGTCTCGAAAGTCCAATCAATATTCCTCCAACTTCACAGAGTTGCAGATGACTCCAAATATCAGATTCAGATTCAGATCAGATTAATTTATTTACCATTTGCAGTAAAACCACATTGGAATACCTTTGCAAAAGTCCTCAGTGTACACAAGACAAGTACATAAAAAAGATGAAAGTGTAAAGAAGCTAGTACTGCTTAGTTACCTTCTTTACACTTTTAGAACCTTTTAAGTCTTTAATATAAAAGAAAAATATAATATTTTACATTTTATTATACTGGTGTTGTTGCATTTCACATAGCCCAATATGAGTGGCTCTTGCATTCACAAGGCCAGTCTAGGTCTAACATTGTAAAAATAAGTTAATATTTCTTCTTATGAAGTATTATTTAATTATGTACTGTTATCCCTTGTGAAGCATGAGGAAAGCCTTAACTCATATAAAATAAATTAGATGTAAGTTGGGCCAGGTATAGGGCCTTTCCAGAGCCTTAATGTACAGACCGAGCCGTGGCGAGGTCAGTGCAAAAAGGCCAAGGTCTGATATTTCTCTGTACAGACCGAGCAAGCGAGGTTAATAAATGTTTTATTATATGACTCTCGTCTGTGTCCTTACCAATGCTTTTGAGATATTTGTGAAGTATGTTCATGTCCGACTTGGTTTTGTGTGATACGGCTATGGACCAATTGTCATGGTAACGGTCCGAGATGGGAAAATATCAGACCGCAAATCAACCAATCAGAGCGCGCGTACGGTCCAAGTCATATAATAAATTGCAGTATGTCGCGGAAACCTCTTACTCTGTGCCAAAGTTTTCGGATCTGTTACAACACAGGACTCAAGCCCCGAGTTGGCTTGAGTCCTGAACAAATGTTGTGACTTTGGGCTATACAAAAATAAATTGAATTGCCCCATGTTTTTCAACCTCTGTTGAAATGGCAGGTCGTCAACAGAGGGAAAGATTTACGTCTTCTGAAGTGCACCCAGGATACCAAGGGAATCTCATTGTAATGGATTATGACAAGTTTAACATCCATGTGGAGCAATATAGACATTTTCCGAATCATTTTTACAAGGACTTCTTCATAAAAGAAAGAGAAGCAAATGCAAAAGCCCAAACTTCTACTAAACTGTTCTGACTATACTGTTATGCATGCTTCGTGACCCCCTGTATTGTGTGCCAATAAACCATTCTGTTTGGGGGCTGTATTTGTAATGTCTCTTGTGTGACTTGAAACAACTTGATAAAATACTGAGTTGTTCTGACACATGCCTTTTGGTCCCACGGTTAGAATGCTCAGAGGTAGAGTTGCGGAGATTTTTTGGAAAATGGAGAACAAGACCTTCATACGCTGCAGTAATGCTTTGATGTTGATCCTATTGATTGGCAGGTATCTAACAGAAGTCTGCGGTGCTATCTGGAGTTAAAGATCACAGATCACGTGGACAGGGGCTGTTTGTCTGTGGAGGAGGTCTCTGGTGATAAAACCAGGTCCTGGTCGCGGCCACAGACTCCTCCCTGTGTCGGTCCAGCCGGTAAGAACTCATCTCTACTTTTCACAGTTTTTGTCTGTATAGTAGTTGTTTTCCCTTTTAATTTACAAACTCACAGAGTTTACAAAGTGATTCTTGCATACTTACATCATTTGTATTGTCTTTGTATATTGTATAACTTCCCTTGTCCCTCGTGGTGTGTCCAGTGCTGCTGTTGCACCATGCGCGCCCTGCTCTGCCTTCTCCTTTCCTCTGCAGCCGTTCTGTGCCGGGCTGGTGTGATCCTGGAGAATGGAGGTCCCATCATGTGGAGCCATGCCACAGATCAGCTGACAGACTTACCCATCACTGAGGGAGTGCTCACCCCAGACCCATGGCACTACCTGCACCGCATGAGCTTCTACCGTCTGCTCATCGCCTCCACCAACCCCTACATGAGCTCTATGGGCCCCGGGGAAAACATGAGCCCCATCTGGGGTCTGCCGCTGCAGCTGGGGTGGATGCTCAGCTCAGGTACCGTCACCGTTGGGAAATAACCTCACAAAACTACCTAATTTCTGCAAATATTTAACTTTATCTTTTTTGGGTAAACACTGATTACGCTTTGATCCAAAGTACATGCATCTGCATCTGCATAGAGCTAATGTCACAGTTTACATGAACTGCCCACTCAAAAGAGCTCAACACACTGCAGAGAACCTCTGGCAAGTGCAAGTTTCTGTAGTTTGTAAAATTGGGAGCAAATATTGAGCAGTACATCCAGAGCGTTGACTGACTGACCTCCTCTCACTGTGACCTACTGTATACATAACACTGCAATTCTTTTACAAGAAGAAGCATCTGTCTATCACCAAGGGCACCTTTCTTCGGTCCAAAACCATGGCCTTGTATTTTCAGTCCAGTTGCCTCAACTCACTGTCCCAGTGCAGGTTGCTGGGAACAAAGGACATCATCTGCAAAACAGCAGGAATTAAACCCTGTGAAGGTGTAATTTATTTATCACCGTAGGGCAATTCATCCTTTGCATTGACCCCTCCTGATGCCACTAGGGTGTCTATCAGGAGCAGTGGTCGCTGTAGTACAGCGCCTGGGAACCCATCTCCAGATGCTGATGCTCGACTTAGTCAGGACTACCAGAGCTGGAGGATTTTACCTATTGAGCATGCTCTTAGTGGTAGGGGAAACCGGAGCACCCGGAGAAAACCTACACAGGCACAGAGAGAACCTGCAAACTCCAAACCTCCAAAGACCCTTTTACCTAGGACCTTAATGCTGAGAAGGTCCACTCAGCCACCGTCCCTGTGTTTCCCAAATTGGACTTCCTCCACCCCTAGTCCACGAAAGCAGCGAACAGAACCAGTGACAATGGCCAGCCTTGAGAGAAGCCAACATGCACTGGGAACAGCTCAGACTCACTGCCCAAGTGCAAACTTAGCTCCTGTTGGCCACAAAAGGGAGACCTGTCACAATGGGTCATTAAGGCCCATTCGCTACGATCACTGCCTCACAGTACTTCCTTCAGGTTTAAGCAGAGGGCCCAGGCTGCATTAAAAAAAACTATCCTCTATATTGAATTGCTTGCAGGTTTTTCACCTTGGTCTAAAGCTGTCAACCTAGGACTCCACCAGGGGCTGATGGAGAAGAGTGGCTCTAATGTTTAGTGTCAGACCGTGATGAGTGATGTTTTTGTGCACAGGACGACTGGCTGATCCCACAGGAAGCACAGCGTGTGGGATCCCAACAGGAGACACGGCCGATATGTGCATCTCCACGAGCAGCTGGTGGGGCTGTAAGTACCACACTGAGGACCACACAGAGTATCACACAGAGTACTCTAAGGACCACTGAGCAGGTAGTGTCACCTTGGACAACCCGCACAGCATGAACTTCATTACCACAATAGAAATCTACAAATCTTATTGTAATTGCAACGTTTAGCCCCCTAAAACATATGGCTACAGATATTCCCATGGTTCACCTACATCTTGTCATTGCAGCAGTGGTTTTTCATTCACACACGTCTTAGAAAAGGAATATGTCATATTTCTGAACCCAAGTGCAAAGAAGAATGCAGGGATAAGTGAAATTCACATTTCTGAAGCCTTGACAAAGGCAAGAAATTACAGGATTAACCCAGACTGTATGAGGGCTGCAAAGAAATATGTTTATACATGAGGAAAACGTTCTTGTGCAGGTGTGAACTACTTCAACTCTGCTCTGCCCTTCCTGTCCGCGGCAAAGCAAGGCTTCATGGGAGATGGAGTTTCTGTACGTATGCAACTAAACTGATCCAGAAGTGAAAGAGCTTGAATTTCCTACACATTTCAAATAATTTTGTTATGAACCAACTACTTCCACATTGTTTGGCCCACATTATTTCTGATCACTTTCCGATGAGACGCTAACTGGATGCAGTGAAAACACAGCTCCTATGAGCTTGATGATCTGCATAAGGTTTTTTCGACCAAAAACTCTGAGTCGCCTGTTCCCACATGCTCTCCTGGCAAAGTAGTCTTTTTGCCATGGCATGTTCAGAATAAACACTGATAGCTGTCTTTTAGACAGTTATGAGAGTTTGGGCTGTTGAATGCTTAGCTCTTTCCTTCATTAACTTGTTCTTGTAAAAAAAAAAAATCTGAATTTTCTAATTGTTCTGGATGAAATACTTACAGCAGTCCATTAAATTATGTCCTAAAGACATTTTTATCCAAACAGGCCTTCTAGAAATGTACAGAAGTTATGTTTTTATGTTTCATGATGGTGTTTATATATTCGATGTATTGTACATTTTTTTTACATTTTTACGTTGTGTATCCTGGGGATGTTCCCTGTTCTGTAGCACTCTGAGATTTCGCTGAAATGTAAAGTGCATTATAAATAATTATTTTTAATATTATTATTATCATTATTATCATTATACAGTGATTCTACTTAATATGCATTGCTAAAAAACGAGATCACAAAGCAGGTTAAATGTTGATCTGACAGACCAGCCTGTGTCGCTCAGAGGCAAAAAATATTTCTGTGCTGTGGGAATTAAGAGTAAGCTTTTGTGTTAAGTTCATTCAGACCTGCATACAGAGAATGTATTGAGCAGCTTTTTCATTCAGAAAAGACTTCTGAATATTAGCATGATACAAAAAGCAACTATAGCTTAAACACAGCCTTTAAAATGCTTGTTGGTGTGACTGAGATGCGTTTTTTTGTAGATGAGCATGACAATCTTTTACAGCAATTGTCTCAAAAGACAGTGATCGGAAGTAAAACAGGTCACAATTATGAACGATTGTTTGAATATAACTGAAAACCTTTGTTGAGCAGGTGCAGCTGCAGGTCCCCGCTGGAGTGGAGGAGTATTGCACAACCTATGATTCATGCAAAGCAGCTTTTCCCGACGCCATCAACAACTGGGACATGTTTTTCCAAGTAAGACGTCAATATACAGTATAATATAAATTGAGGCATATTGAAGAAACGTGTAAAAGCTCAAACAACAATGGTATTGGATCATGATAGTTTAGGTAAAAATAAGCAAAGGCTATGCCTCATATTAAATATTTTCTCAGTATTTTTTTTGACTTAACTGTATCCGGGTTGCGTGCCCATTTGAATCTTTAAATTCTAAAATATTATATTATTTGGTCCATAGTATGAGTATTTAGTTGAGAAAGGAAAAATAAATCTTGTGTCCTGTTTCAGGGTCTGAAGGAATCCACTTCTTCCCCTCTGCCCGAGAACGAGAAACAGGACGCCATCTTGGGTCTGTATTGGAAAGCTCAGACCTCCTCCATCGCTGCATCCTCCACCTGTATCAACAAGTAAGACTGACCACATTGACTCTGACACACACTCTGCCCACACTCCATTTCACTTTGGCTCTATTCTCTTACATTGAAAAGTAAACTCCTCTTACACTCACCATGTGGGGCTTTTATATCAATGGTTCAGCACTCTCTGTGAACCTGGTGCCGGTGCGGTGCAGAGAGAGCCCTGATTGGCTCTTAAGCCTAGCGTACATCGGACTGGCAACTGATTATATCCGTCGCCTCTGAGTTGCTGCCCCGCACACATCGACAATCTGGCGAAAACGGGCAACTCTGAGTCGCAGACCAGTCTCTTGAATAACAGCGCGTACATCGACAGCAACTGGCCTCAACTACAGTGTGTTTTCTGACATAAACTGTTGCGGGCGCGCAATACACGCAATACACACACGTTGTTGGAGCGGCGCATGGAGCGCGCACATCGGAGCAACTGAGGACAACTAGTTGCCGAAAAGTAGAACACGGGCAACTGACTGAAACTGGAGACCGACTGTTTATCTCCAGTTGTAAGAGCGCGCACATCGACCGATTTCGGCAACTGATCATCTCCCACCATCTCCTCTCAGTTGCCAAAAGCCGCCTTGCAACTAGTTGTCCCCAGTTTCTCTGTCGATGTACGCTAGGCTTTAGTTGCTCGATGGTTGCTACCCACAAACCAGTGGCGGAGCCAGACTTTTAAACAGAGGGTGGCCAGGGGGTGGCAAGGGTTTTTTTAAGGGGTCCACATTTATACTATTCCGAAATTTTATTTCACACAAAAACTGGCTAAACGATACATTTTAGTCTTAATCTTGTCATTATTTTTAATATAAAGTGAACTGAGAGCACACTTGGAAACTACAAAGCAAAAAAGTGTATTTAAATAGTAGTCTGAACAAAAAAGTGCAAAATAACATCATTCAAACATTGCATTACATTTTTCTTTTAACAAATTTAGCAAATTCCTGCGGTTCTGGTGTAAAGCAGCAAAGATGTTGACAAACTCATCCATATTTAGCCCTCCTTGACTCTACACTGAGGATACCAAGATGACTCAATCATCTGCCATGGTAGTTCTGAGATGGTTTTTAATAAGTTTTAGGGCAGAGAAACTTCTTTCACACGACGCAGTACTGACAGGTATTAAAAAGATCTTTGCAAGCCTCAAAAGCTCATGAAACACTCCAAACGTTCCAAAAGGACAAGGAAGTCCAATAGGGTCTCTCTTATCAATTTTTTCCTCCCAAGAAGCCGCCTAGTTTGACGTACCTCATGCTTAAGGTCCTCTATATCTGACTGAAAGGTTCTGCCAAATGAAAACAGGGGCTCTTCTTTCAAAAATATTTTGGGGTTAAGCGACTGCACATCATCCATAATCTTAGCTATTTTTTTTCTTTTTTTGTGTGTGAAAAAACGCCTTCTGCCAATAGACAATCCTGCACCTGTCTGCGACACCCTCTCATTCTCTGAAACTCAATTGTATAAGCTATATTTTAATACAACACAACAAATTCCTCATCATCTCAAAACATACTGCCTCCGAGTCTGACCTTCAGGTGAGGTTTCATCATCCTGATCTACAGGCCTTTTCCTAACAAAAAAAGGCCTGTAGGCAATGTTTCCTCCTTTTCTTTTCATGTTTACACTAAAGGGAAGAGGGCGATGATACGATGGGCAATTAATAATGGAAAATACACACGCATGCACCCCGCACGCACACTGGCATGCACACACACACAGGCACGCAGACCCACACTGGCACACACAGGCACGCACACACACGCACACTGGCACGCTGACACACGCACACAGGCGCGCATACAGGCACGCACACAGGCACGCACACGCACACACACATACACACACTAAAAGTTCTACAAACTGAACAAGTAATGCGCTGCAGTACGTGTGTCTATACTTTGTGTCAAATGTAAACGGTTGGCTCTGCATCGCTAACTTACCTCTTTGTTTTCATCACGACTTGGGCACATGTCCAACAACCCAAAACATTAGCATACAGCACCGGCTCCACAGGAGTCAGGGTGCGTTCACAGACGGGGGAAACCGTGGGAATTTTTAGCTTTTAGCGGAAAAAGTGCGGAAGATTCTCAAGATTAACATTATTACATTGCCGTCTTCCGACGGGGGCACTGGGGGTGGCAAGGGTATTTTTAGAGGTGGCAGTGGCCACCCTGGCTACACCTCTGGCTCCGCCACTGCCACAAACATACATTCATTTGGTGCATACATTCCCAAACATGAGGCCATATTTAGTAAGACTATGGGTGACATCAGCACTTACTCCACTCCTTCTTAAGTTAACAATGACACACTCTGTCCACCTTCTAACACGTACGACTGGAGACCTGGAACATTGCATTAATTCAAATCAGCTGAAGAGTTGGTCGGGTTTAGAAACAGTAACAGAAGTTAGACCGATTAGCATTAGCCATATTAGCAGAAGTAAGCCTGAGTTAAACACATAAGAAAAGATTTAGGTTGACGTTAGCCATTCTAGCAAGAGTTAGTCTGAGATAACCTCATTATCAAGAGGTAGCCACGCTATAAAGACCTAACCTGAGTTACTTATTATTACTTCCAGAGTTGCTTTTACAACACATTTGCAGTTCGGTAGAGCAGTTTTTGATGTGAACATGATGTTTTGTGTTGTAGACTGGGCTCCTACTCGTCTGTGGAGAAGAACTTTGCCCAGAGTTGGTTGAACGCTGGAGAATACGTCGCCGCTGCTCGTTTTCAGTCCAGTTTAGATCTGGCCTCACAGTTCATGGCTCCTCTGCCCGGACGCATCCTCAAGGTCCAGTTACAACTAAATTCATCCTGATTAGAAGTTGTTATTTGTTTGGAATACAATTTGTTTCTGATAATTGTTACACATTATTTGTTATAATTTGTACAGGAAAACACATTGTCTTAAATGTAGAAGCAGTGAAATCTTTCAGGACATACAGCAGGCCTATGTGTCATCATCCTAATTATGTGTGTTCAGGAAGACGACGTTCCTCCAAACATCCCTGACCTGACAGCGGAGGAAAACCACTCCCTCTACATATTCTCCTGGATGAGGAGCGCAGACAGTTTCCTGGGTAAAATTACCATAAAGATTATTATTTATGCATTTATTTAGAGCAAACGTATAATCTACAATGAAGTGTGTCCAGAGCACTGCACAGACAATCTCGGGGTTCAAAAGTAGCTGCTCAAACTAAAGCCAGGAGCCACAGAACAATGTTGTCGGTCTACAATGTTTTTAATTGTGTCTGTCTTCTCTCACTGTCTTCAGTGGCAATTTTATTATTTTATTTTATTATTTATTTGACAAATGTTGCTGATGTAGTTCTACATGTGGCCACCATAGACTGTAAATATTAACAGACGTAGTCATGCCTATCTCTGTTGTTGAAACTAATGTTCCACCACATTTGCCTTCTTTGGGCTTTTTCAAAATGGCCACGGGGGCAGGAAAATGTGAAAAAACGCAGTTGCACATGCGTTTGCCGGCACTAGCCCCGTTCATTTTACAGGTGTATTCAAAAATCCACAACGGCTAAACTAGACTGGTCCAAAAAAATTACTCCCCTCAGCATTTGACACACATTTGGAACGTAGCGCTGGGCCAAGACTGGGTAATTCTTACTCCTATTCTGTGTTTAGGGGGAACCCTGGTGAATCTGTGGAGAAACGCCATGTGCTCCGTGACGACAAGAGAGAGTGGACGAGAGATGCTCCGCCAGCTACTCTTCAACACTGAGTACGCAACCAGCTCCTTCCTCACCATCGTGACCTCCATGTCCACTAGCTGTGCCTAAAACCAGGACTGAGCCAGGACGACAACAAAGCCTTGTATTTTCTATCTTTTTTCCACTAAATAAAATAAAAATAAAACAAATACCAGCAATGTGGGCTCAAATGAACTACTCAGTGAATCATAGAATGAAGTCATCTGGCTTTGATTTTCCAATTGTGTCTGTTTTATAAAAATGAAAAGGATGAATGTTCAATTTTTCTAAAATTACTTCCTAATTGATAGACAGTTAATACTTAAAATACTAACCAGCAGTGGTTTGGTCATGGGTTAGAACCACAACAATGGAACTTTTAGTCAGATCAGGCCAATCATCCCAAAGAGTCAAATAGTGACTCACATGGTTCTTTCTTACTAAAAGTGTGCAAAAGATAACGTGCTTACTGGCAAGATGACAGCATTTTGTGGCCTAACATTTTATTTTATGTTGGACAAATAAGATGTATTATGATATTTATGAAAAAAATAAAAAATAGGAAAATCACGTCATCACAAAATGGTCGGTCAGTGTTTGACATCCGTGGATTAAATTCTTCACACAGCAAAAGTCTTGCATCTTTTATGCCACCAAAAATGTACCATAGTAGATAGTATAGACGGCGATATTGAGCAAGTGGTGAAAAGGTGGTACTGCACCCTAAAACTCCCCAGAAAAGAGACGGCGCTCTTGAGCAAGTGGTGAAAAAGTGTTACTGCACTTTTTTTCCAAAGAGTTTTAATGAGTTAGCTTCAGTTGACCCTGTGTGTGTGTGATAAAGTAAATGCTTCACAGTTGTCTAAAGTGATTTATGATCACGGTTTATTCTAAAACAGTTAGGAATAGCTAAGCTGCAGGGGAGGACCTGTTAACGACACTTAGGTGTGTGTGTGTGATAGCCTTATCATGATGACGGTTGGGAGGTCGTACTAACAACAAATCAGAATGGGTGGGAGGTCTGTTTACACCGTCCTATCAGAAGTTTTTCAATGGTTCAAACGCATTACGACTGTCTAAGAGAAGGTTATGCAATATGTCTAATACAGGTAAGTTATTAATATAACATTTTTCAGTATTCATATTAAATGTTTTAATTTAGTTTATCTCTAGGAAAGGGTCGTTTATTGACACATTATAACACCGATGAAGATTTAACCCCAACAGCAAAAGTTACGAGAGGTCTACAGTCAACGGCTGAAATAAGGTAAGATCTCATTTTCCTTAATGTCTTAATCAGATGTTTAATACTTTATTTCATTTTATACAGCACAGGTAAATTAAACACCAAGTCAATGCCCCTGATGCATAAATTAAGACAAGTAAATCAACATAAAGCTCCGTAAGTCCGTACATATACTAACTTTATATAACAAGTTTTATGAGAGGTATAATTTTTTTTTTCTTTAGAGCAATTCTAGCACGCTGTAACGGACACAAAATAACTAATCACGGGGATGATGATGATGATGATGATAAAAGGTGAGTTACATATTATAATTTTTATAATGATAGAGGTTATAATTTTCTTCTCACTATTTTTTAGCTCATCAGTTGGTGACGAAGCCGCAGAGAATCAACCCTCTGTAAACCACCATTTCAACATAATCGATTTTATAACGACACTTGACATTGATGCCATTATACGCGATGAAGGTATACCAAACAACGATCAAGATGTATTAAACGTAGGATCACCATTCCCGGACCGTGAGGAATACTTTGAACAAATATCTGGACATACTATTACCGCTCCTGATGCACCAACCAAGGTGAATACTTTGCAAGAAAACACACATCTGTTAAACACCTGTAATGATGTACGTGAAAAAGAGGTGGTGAAAGCAGAGCTCTCCGACATACGGTTGGAAGTGGAATCAAACAAGTCGCGTTGTGCTAGTGCTGAGGTACATACAAACAGGTGTCTATCAACTTTGAACCAACAACTAAAATACGGAGAGACCCGTCTACTTAACGAAATAGATCAGTTAAAGAGACAAGTTCACCATCTTCAAACCGAGCACGTAAAAGTTACTAAACAAGTGTTGGTGTTGCAAAATCAGCGTACAAACGCTACTATACACAGAGCTAAACTACGGGCTAGAGGGCAACGAGCCCAACTACAGACACGCACGCTTCAACGAGAGGTCCTACAATTGCAAACTCAATACACGAAAGCCTCTATACACACCCGTCAATTAGAAACAAAAGCCTTACGAGGGGAAATACAAATTCAAAATTTGACTACCGAAATCAAGCAGCTTAAAAACACGGGAAACGTAATAGCTGATAGAATTGCACAAGTGGATAACCAAGCGAGCACGTCTATAGCGGCTGCTATAGAGCAAATCAATGAAAACACTTCTCATTTGAAAGCCATCGAAAATGCTTACGATCCTGAAACACACTAAAAGACCTAACGCTACAGCACCCTCACAACTTCCTAAAAAAATAAGAATTAATTATGGCCAGCGCTCTAACACTTATGCATGTGTGGAACGTTTAATTCGTACTAATTATCAAACAACGCGTAACACAGATCGTACTAATTATCAAACAACGCGTAACACGTATCCGTGTATTGATCGACTAATTCGCACAAATCATCAAAGTGCGTCCCATGCTGCAGAACGGTTAATAGCACCGACCCATGTCATAGCTGAAAGGCCTCCGCTAGCAGACATTACCTCGAATGCTGATAATGTTGTTAACCAGTCAATAAGTAAAGATACTATTCAACCCGCAATACAACACCCTTCAAACAACTGTGTGGGTATAAATAGTCAAACTATAGAAATGGATACACAAAATGACGAGTCACCTAGACACAGCTCTGTTTTAAATCGACACAACAATGTTACAACTGTTTCAAGAAATTGTATAGTTCACACAGAGGCAGACCTCCGGGGGGACAATGCTAATGAGGGTAACGATACCATACAAGTGGGGGGTGTTGTACAGATTACTGAACAAAGTGATATCCCCGTTAACGTACAATCAGGTGGGGAGGTCCATGTTAACATAATACCAGAGTTTAATACCACGGTAATGTCTGAGCACATTGATTTTCGAGGTATAGATCCTACAGATACCGTAAAGGCTTGTGAAAGAGTAAATGAAAAATTAACAGGGTTAATAACACACGCTGTAAACAATACAGAGCAAGGATGTGTGATGAATGTTGCATTACGAGGGCCCTCGCTTAGTGACAATATTCAAGTTATTTTGAACTCTGACAACGACTACAATGTTGACCATTTTTTAGAGGAAGTGGAAAAAGTGTTACAAAGTAACGACAAGTCCATTATAGAGGATGAAATGACATTAATAGTGAGTATAGCACATTCACAAAGTGGTGGTGGTGGTCAGCGTCTCAAACTTGGTGCTGTAGCCTACGATACAATATTGCTAAAGAAAGGTAAATTTCTTTATAACCCTCACAATACCGAAAATGCCTTGTGTTTTGCCATGTGTATAGCTCATGCATTTCATGCGAACTATACCCATAGTAAATTACTCGATAAAGCCAAAGAGTGGCAAGCCGCAGTTGGTCTGGATCAACAAACAAAACGATTATTTTCTGAAATAAACACTCTGGTCAAACCTCACACACACACACTGTCTGACACCAGTACGGACCATTGCAATAGGTTCATGGACTACTTCACCAACAAGGTAATGTCAATCCGGTCTGCCCTTCCTTCCACTACCCCATTTCCAACTGACATAATCTTTCCTAAGCCGCCCAACACCTTTACCTCCTTCTTGGATATCTCCCAGTCTGAAGTGGAGAGGATCATAAGCAGCATGAAGCCCTCCACCTGTCTGCTGGATCCTCTCCCCACAACACTTCTCAAATCAAACTTTTCCGCCATTAGCCCATTAATAACAGAAATCATTAACCAGTCACTAAAATCCGGTCAGGTCCCCCCAGCTCTCAAAAATGCAGTAATCCGCCCTCACCTGAAAAAACCTTCACTTGACCCCAACATCCTAGCCCACTACAGACCAGTCTCAAACCTCCCATTCCTCTCCAAAGTCCTCGAAAAAGCAGTAGCAGCCCAACTCCACAATCACTTACGCTCCCATAACCTATATGAGAAATTTCAATCTGGTTTCCGCTCAGCCCACAGTACAGAGAACAGCCTTGGTCCGCGTCATGAATGACCTACTCATGACTGCGGACCGGGGCTCACCCTCTCTCCTCCTCCTCCTCGATCTGTCAGCAGCTTTTGATACCGTGGACCACACCATTCTCCTCCATAGACTACAATCAGTAATTGGACTTTCACAGACAACACTCAAATGGTTTCATTCATATCTCACTGACAGAACAGAATATGTGTCCCTAGGCCAGTAAAAATCGTCAACCCATTCAGTTACCTGTGGGGTACCGCAAGGCTCAGTCCTCGGGCCAACCCTTTTTACAATATACATGCTCCCCCTTGGTCAAATCATAAACAGACACAACATTTCTTTCCACTGCTACGCCGATGATACACAGTTATACCTGAAAATGGACTCCACTTCACCCACAGGTTTTACGTCAGCCCTTCAGCTTTGTCTGGAGGAGATAAAGGCATGGATGGACAACAATTCTCTTCAACTTAACAGTGGTAAAACTGATGCAATCCTCTTTGGCACCCCCCACCAAACCCAGTCCTCCCCTCTCAGCAGTGTTTCAATTTTTGGCCATAACATCCCCCTGTCCACATCTGTTAATAACCTTGGAGTCAGGCTCGACTCTAATTTTACATTTGATACCCACATCCGCCACCTCTGTAAAGTCTCCTTCCTTCACCTCAAAAACATTGCCAGACTCCGCTCCTCCCTCTCACAACCGGACGCTGAGAAGCTGATCCATGCCTTTGTCTCCTCCAGGTTGGATTACTGCAATGCCCTCCTCGTCGGGACCTCTGCAAAGGGTCTGCAAAAACTCCAGTACATCCAGAACTGTGCTGCCCGGGTCCTGACGAGGAGGCGCAAATATGACCACATCTCACCCGTCCTCAAATCACTCCACTGGCTGC